CGATGCCAGACCCACCACAAAAGGGGCTTTTCTCTGAGCTCACCGCCCCCAGGCACGAGGGAACATCCTGGAAACGAGCTGAAAGCGCCCGGTGTTGGGATCCAGACGGGACTTCTGGGCAGGGGTTGGGATGCAGGGAAAGAGGGGAAGCATCGCTCAGCCGCTCTGTGTGGGCTGGGGGCATGTGGGGGTCCAGTGCCCACCCTCTCTCCGCCTCCCCAAAAAGCTGCTGCTCCTGCCAAGCATCCTCCTGGCACAGCCAGAAAGAAAAGGGATGGTGGGCAGGGTTTTGCCCAGCCTTGGCTCCCCTCGCCGTCGCTGGGAGACGGCACAAAGTGCCGGCAAGGGAAAATCCTGCAGGGATGAAAAGGGGGGGCGCCGGAGGTGGAAGATGCCAGCCCCCCCCACGGAGCCCCCTCCCTCCTCCCCAGCCTGCGGGAAGGGCTGGAGGCCAAACTGGGGGGGTTCATCCTGTGGGACCGGGAGAAATCCCCAGTTTTCCCTCTGGATGCTGGTGGAGCAGAGCTGGGAAGGATCAAACCTTCCAGGACTGAGGGTGGTGGAGGGGCAGTGGGGACCCCAGGGCTGCCGAGACAGTGGCTGCCAGAAGGGCTGCTGTGCTGGGGGGAGAGAAATTCGGGGTATTTCGGGGGAGTTTCCAGCAAGGAAAGGCAAAGCCGTTTGGGATCTGCACGAAAAACCCTCCCTGCCCGGGACGGCCAGACCCCAGCGAGCCCAGTCGGGGGTCTTGGATGGACCCCCTCCAAGCTCCATCTCCACGTTGGTGGGTGTGGAAGAGCTGGGGGAATCCATTCCAGGAAAAAAAAAACCACCCCGGGAAAGGAAATCCTTGTTAAAAACATCCCGAGTGTGGCCAGCGCGTGCCGGGAGGGAATGCCAGAGATAAGCCACGCCAGAGATAAGCCGAGAGCTGCAGGCACTCCTGGGAATTGGGCTCCGGAGATGCTCCCGAGGGGCCAGGAATAGCCAACACAGAGCCACGGGGGACTTGCCCTCCCCTCCTCCCCCAAAAAAACCCTGAATTGCCAAAAAATGTGGAAACTGGGTTTCCGGCGGGCGAGGGCGAAGTCGCGGCCGGGCTCCCGCTGGGCTCATTCCTGCCAGGGATTTGTTTGTTTTCTCACAGGATGCAGGAAAGACACAACAGGGCGATGCTCCGGGAAAAGCCCGGCACACTCCCGCCTCCGTCACGCCGCCGGCCCCGGGAAAGCTCCCCCGCGTCCACCAGCGGGTCTCGGATCCGCTGGAAACCCTGTGCAGGATGTGTCCCAAAACTGGATGTGTCCCAACCTTGGGGGGCGCAGCGGGATTGTGCCCCTGGTCATCCCGCCCTGGCCCCGTGCCTCAGTTTCCCTTCGCTGGGAACGATGCCTTGGATGCCCCGTCCTTGTCTCTCCTCGCTCTGGGATGAGCTGAGGACAAGCGGCACCGGGAAACATCAACTTGGGGATGAGGTCTGGGTGAACATTCCCTCGGGGTCGTCCTGGACCCCGCGGGTGCAAATCCCACTGCTCCGCGGCATTCCTGGGATGGAGCCGCTGCCCGGCTCTCCCGACTGCGCACCGGGAGCGCCAGCGATCCTCTTAACCCGGGGATTAGGGGATCCTGGAGAAAGCCCTGGGGGCGGGACGGAGCCGGGACCCCCGGGACCGCTGGGACAGGAGGCACCGGGAGTGGGGACAGAGGGAGCGGGGGGAACAGGACCGGGGTGATGAGGGGGGGTAGGGGCAGCGGGGAGCTCGTACCGGAGAAGGGGGATGGAGCGGACCCCGTCCCGTCCGGTACCGGGACAGAGGGACGGCAGGGACGCGGATCAGGACCGTGACAGAGAGATGGATGTGCTCCATCCCGCCCGGTACCGGGACAGAGGGATGGACGAGGCTCCGTCCCCGATCGCTGCTGGAGCAGAG